CGTGTGCCTGCATTCACACTGTCTTAAAGTAATCCCTGTCTGAAACATTAAAGCCTTGGCAAAGATTATTAGACCTGGCTGATCCCGGTCTCCGGTGCCTCTCACTAAACTCAATAAAATAAGTTTATGTATGCCGTGTACAGCATCGCAAACATCGCCCGTTAGCTCAGTGGTAGAGCGTGTGGCTTTTACGGCACCTCAATGTCGCGGGTTCGACCCCCGCATCGGGCTCAAATTCAGATTCTCACTTTCCTCTGGAAAGTGGTTGTTTTAAAGTTTTTGTTGAGTAGTGTATGGTGTGTTGTTTTTGCCTTTGGAAGTCTCTGTAGCGGTTTTTTTTGCTACTGATTTTTATGGTACACTAAAGCCTTATACATGCATGCCTGACTTGCCCGAATTGCGCTTTGATCGAGATTGTATAATAAACTAGGTTGTTATTTCAATTATATCACTGTTTATCAACTACAAGAGCCTCTGCTATTCTGATTAGTACTCTGCTAGAAACTTATTGATTCATTTGGTATCACAACATTATCACTCCCCTAGAAATCCATAGTAGCAAACTGTAGAACAAAATAAATGATATGGAACCTTATTTCGGCGCCTTCCACCCAGGAATTAAAGGTTATTCTTGAGCGAGTCTTTATCCAGCACCTTCCTTGCTGATTCCGCTCCCATAACTGGCAACAACTTCGGATCGAGCAGGCCGATCTGCACAAGCACTGTAGCTTGATCCTATTTCAAATTAGCCTTCCTTAGTATTAAGAGGAATATTACGGGCTCACCAGTAAATATGCTCACTCACAAGCTTTCCCCCACGCAGCCGGCAACTACGACCAACGCCACACCTCCACCTCCCTCCCCGTCGGTGGCACCCCCGGCAACATCCAGTCCATGACCTGATCATGCCTAAAAGTCGCAACCAGCTCATCAACCACCCTCTCAGCGCCCACTGTCCTCGATATAGGCTTCATCCGTAGGCTCGGCGGGTTCCGCGGTATGAAATGCTCGGTATAGAAGGCGTGCAACTCCTTATACCCGATCCCTCCCGTACCCGTCGGAACGTGAGTTACGTACGGCTCGTCAATCATTGTGGACAGCGTCTTGTCAGCGTCCCGCTCGACAAACTCGGCGATTAGATGACGCTCCCAAACGTCGTCATGATCGACAATGGGGCCGATGGTGCGGCGGAGAGCTCAAGCGTGCGGGTGTAGGCGATGCTAGAGGCGATGGCGTCGTAGGTGGGGGATGAGGGCTCGGCGAATCCGGAGGGGATTGGTAGGATTTGATGAGGACGTGCGGGGGTTTGCTGGCGGGGAGAAGGGCGTGTCCACCGGGAGGTGGATGAGGGCTTGGATGGTGGGTGACTTTGAAGGAGGGAGGGAGAGTAGGTGGATAGTAGGCGATTACACAGGCGATGGAGTGAATGCTGGAGGTGGCCAGTGAGAGTGCGTGTGTTGCAGCTTTGCCAAAGGCAATGATGGCATACTTCAGGTGAGGCTCGATGTTATCGGTTGCGTCTTCGAGGTCGCGCTGGGTGGCGCGGGGGATATGCGTGGTGGTGTAGCCTTCTTGCTCGAAGGGCGTGGTGTTGAAGTAGGCGTTTTCTGTTGCGATGATGAGGATTGGAGACTCCATTGTGCGAATTGGGGAAGTTGGGGAAGTTGGGGAGCTGTGCACTGGTGTTGTTGTGAGGTTCTGCTGATGTAAAGGTTTGGTCCAAGTTGTTGTTGAAAGTTGAGAGTGCAGGTGGGGGTTAGCTGTTTTAGTAGTAGAAGCGGCCGCGCGGTGGCTTGGTCCGCGGACGGTCTTGGTGGCTGACGATCGATGCTGCATTGGATTAATTGCGTATAACTCTCCTCTTATTAACTCTATTCTAGGCGCAATTATAAAGCGCCCAAGGGTCAATGATAGTTTCAACCCACAAATCCTTAAGTATTAGTTTACCGGATGAACTGTTTCAGATCCCGGCTCTTGGCAATTGGAATGTTTGCTGAAACATTAGAAGGACTGCCAGGGTGTGACTGTTTACAACGGAAACGGGTGATAATTGATGACCCCAGTAGTACATCAAATCTTAAGTGTCATATGTTGGGATACTTTAGTCGTAGCTGCCATGTAGGTACACGGCGACGTAATTTCTCGGGAGAAAAATAGGTCCAGGGAGTACTAGTGAGCGTCCTACAGCTAAATTCTGCCGCTTCTAAACCTACATGTACCCTCACCGTCTCATGGTAGTACAGACGCAACTTTATTAACGGCATCGCATGGTACCAGAACGGCACAATAGAAACAACCTTGTAGCCGATCCCTAATGTAGGCAATGCCTTCTTTTACTTTCACACGTCGTACACGACATATCACTCTATTACCGGACCATCTGCCATGAGACTGGGGATAAGCATTACTTCCTCCTCGTTTTCTTCTGGCCATCTCCAGGATCATCATATCCGTTCTACCAGGGATACCACAGTAGAAGTTACATTAGGATAAAACCTAGGTTCTCCTAATTCTCCAATATACCAACAAGGCATCATATTTACCGCCTTCCTCGAGCGAGCTTCAAGACGTTGTCTGATTGCAGAGAATTGCAGTCTCTGTTCTTTATCCTCCGAGGCTTTTGAGAGCAGTCCGCCGACCTTCAATATTAGTGGGGCCTCCTCTCTCTGATCTTCCTACCATAACTTAGGAGTTCGGAGTATCAGCTGGATGGTTTTAATTCTCCATAGACCTTGACTTGAACCTCATGGTGATGGTCATGGCTTTCTGCTTCCTTTATTGCTGGAACAGCGAGGAATTTGGTTATCTTCGTCCCCAGAATTCGGCGGAGCACATGAGGTATGCGCTCGATGGAAACTTAAATAAGTACCGAGTCATCGGCTAATATCTCGTTCCTAGAAAACTGTTCGGAGGACCTGGGAGGTAATTGTCTGGGGCAGCTTGGTCCTTGCATTAATTGCAGATGGTTCAGTAAGCTGCTTACTTTCTTGTCATTCTTATTCGGTATTTACTAAGAGGATCAATACATAGATCTACTTAGGGCGCGTTTGGCAACGGCCTAAACGGAGTTAAAAGGTCCAAAAACTCCGTTAAAACTGAAATCCCGTTATGAGAAAAGTTGATGTGTTTGGCATGCCACTTTTAAGTGCAGTTTTGATGATTTTAACGGAGTTTTGAAAAAGTAGGTCTGACTTGCTTTTCCATGCTGCAACGCACATCCTCACCAAAATACATGCGCTAAACCCACCCCACAGTATCCATGTTTGGCAAACCAAACTGCGTTTAAGGATTTCTCTGTTTGCCGGTTGATAACGGGATTGTTGCTTAACGCAGTTTTCTAAACTTTACTTCCTCCAAACGGGCCCTTAACTGTGAGATGTCAACTATTCAAGGAGTCTTACTCGCATCCCAGATCATTGGTGCTGTGGAGCGAGTCCCAGTAAAAGCCCAATCGTGATAGCCGGGGGAACCTCCGAGGATTGTTATCTACCATAGGAGCCTTGGAAGAGAAGCAGAGTCGGTCGAGTAAAGCCGATTGCGTTGGGGCTCCTCCTGCTGTATCCCTAGGATATCTTGCGTATGTATTCTCTGCTTATAGACTCAGTGATATGCTAATATGACATTTCCAGGCTCTATATACTTGAAATATGGTCCTAGGTTCAATCAACCAGATACCAATGATCGACCTCTGGTTATTCGAGTATATCTGCTTGAGTCAATATTCTCTCCATCATCATCATGGCACCCACTCCAGATCCAACTCCCAACTCCCTGGTGGGCCAAGGGGCCCTTGTGGTAGTCTGTTACAATGGTATTGTGGCAGGAGTACGAGTATACTATGTACAAGTAGACAAGAGCTTAGTGACGCTTGTCACGAGAGACAAGATAATAGGGAGAGACTTCTCCTCTCCCTGAGAAATCATCATCAACAGAAGTTACATCGTTATTAAGGCACTTCAGCCCTCCACTCCTGCCCGTGCTCAGCTTGACCTTCCTCTCCGCCAGACCCCCAACCCAGAGTGGTAACCTCGTTTTTGTATAAGACGTTCGATTGTGAGTACCTCTCTATAGTGTATTAACAATATTTAATACTAACACACTTTTACGGCATCTAAGGCATATAAATATGGTCCAGTGTTCAATTCGCTCTTGACCAGGTGCTGGCGACTTACCCTGAAGTTGTCGTTTTCGGGGTGTATACGTACTTGGCGCTTAAAGCTCGTTCATCCAAGAGATATAATTATGGTCCCGGGTTCAATAAGATCAACCAGATTGTACGATGATTGGGACTTCTACACTATTTTTCTCTGAACGCGCCTCGGTCCCCAACACGTTCGTCACAAACAAGATAAAAATATGGTACTGGGTTCAATCCACTCTTTTAACAAGAGTAAAAGGAAAACCACTTACATATCCCAAGTATGTAGCATTCTTTGATCCTAGACCAGAGTTACTGTATGTACATTGATAGCGGCTGCAAAAACCGAAGCTGATTTGTCTAGGTCGCTGCCAGTTCTCTCCTTGGTCCCACGCCCAGCCTTCCTCAGGACTTAGCCACAAACACGTCTCAGCACCTCCTATGCAATCCTAAACATAAATTCTTTTGTGTACTCTGCAAATTTGTTGTGGATCCAATGTCACCAAATCCCTTCGTCTGTTCCGGTAATCACACAATATGTTAGGCCCACGACGGCGCCGTGATGGACACAATTTTAACGAAAAAAGTATCCTCCACTACCTTTTAGAGCAATTTTGCACCGCCAGCCGACCGTTTACAGTTAGCTTCAACAATTTGTATGGTGAGCTACTAATCACTACATGTCGTGAAGACACACGAAGGGATGGGCATGTCAAAGATATGGTGCTTGTTCTTGAGGGCAGATGTACTGCTGTACAACTACGCCGTTTTCATGGTTGAGTTTTCATGCGCTGACCTACAGTGGCAAATTGGATTGGTACAGATTTTCCTGTAAACTGGGGCCCTCGACATTATCTTTGTGGCCTTTGGACTTTCATTAACAGACCGGTGGAGGTCGTTGATGGCAACGAGATTGGTGGAGCTATAGGCACACCCCTTAGCGTTTGGACTGAGAGGCTGGGAATTTCTACATCTGCTGGGGTTTCTTCGCTCTGGTACTTTAGGCAGTTTGTAAGCAGATGTATCCGATCCAAGCACTAGACTAGTAGTCAAAATAATATCACAATTCATAATACTCCTCATGTCCATACCTATTGCAAATTGGCTGGAGTTATATTGTGCAAGCTGGACGCAACGCAGGACAGTTGGTGCCAACCAGTCAGTTTGTGATAGGATCTTTTGGTCGTACGTGCCTACATCAGTACTCTTTTAACCCTGGTCCAGTAGGGGGGTTTTTTTATTCGGGGAGACACCATTGTCTCTAACCCTAACCCAAATGCCAAGACGCCCTTCAGAATACTACTCGAGCGCTATCAACCGGCCTTCCGCTCCGGCTACTCACTTGTATTGAAGAAGATGAGGCTGCCAAGGGCCAGAGAGGAGAGCTCAACATATTTTGCGATTCTCTTCTCCGAGCAGAGCGATGGTTGTATCACACGATAAACGGTAGAACATGATGCGTGGTGTTGAGTGGCTCAGTTACTCAAACGGCATAGCATAAAGGACCCCCACGCCTTGTCAATGCTTAAAACACCGTCCCGGATCCTCCATTCGGGGCCGTCCAGCGCAGCGCCCTTATGTAGGTAGTAGTCTATGCGGGTACCAATCGAACCCAGGCAACAAGTCTACCGGCGGAGAAAAAACCTGTTTCCCCTCCCTTCTTCACAAGTCCCGAGATCTTGACGTGGATGAGGATGCATGCAGTGTGCGTGTGATGGAGTGCTACATGAACCCTAGCCCATAGCGCTTATCTACCTTGTTATCATGGGGAGCTCCAGCAGGGAAGGGCAAGTGCAAAACATAGTCATTAGGCATTTTAGGTGTTTTTAGGTAGCAGCTGAGGAGAGAGCGAAAGAGTCACTTGAGGAGAGTGAACACGGTGTCAACTACACGTAGTTACGGGGAGGAGGAGGAGAGGAGGAGAAGGTGGAGGAAAGTGTTTTTGTGGGATGTGATAGAATTCTGTATGCACGGAGGAGAAGCTGTGACGGATATGTAGATTAAAGGACGGAAGCTGTTTTGATAGGTTTTTGGACGTGAATCTGTGCGGAAAGTGTTGAGACTGTTGCGGCTCTCTCAACAACTGGCTACGTCACCCCCTTTGATATTATTATTATTATTGTGTCGCCTCCTCTCTCTTCCATCTTCCACCAGTGCACTTACTCCTCCTCCTCCGTCTTCCAGAAGTGTCCTTTGAATTATAGCCTTGTGTTTCCTCAAGCTGCTAATTCTTATCCTGTTCTTCTCCCCCCTTCCACTTATCCAGCACAGAGCACCTCAAGCACAAATAGCTCTCTGGTAAAGCTTCAAGTTAAGTAAGGCTCGAGCAGCCTCCCCCTAGCTAGCAAGCTTCCACCCGCTTCATATAGAGCTCAAGCACCTAGAAACATGACTACTCGCGGCGTCTCACCCTCTCCGCCCCCGCCAATCAATTCGTACTGGTTCTACTCCTCCCCGTTCCCTCTCGATGATCCCCTTGCGCCGTTTCCGATTCCCACCGCCGCCACAGCTCAGACGAAATACCCACCACGTCCCTTTGCACGCTACGACTCCCTCGCCCTCGAAGCCGCGTATCAGGACCACCTCCAGACACAACGCGCCCGAGAAGCAGAGCGAGGCAGGGCTGCAGCAGCACTGTCGTCAATCTTTCGTGGAACCTCGCCGAAAGCTATTGGGAGAAGGGCATCCAATGAGACAAGCACTAGTACAGCTACGATACGGGAAGTCGCGAAGGAGGGCCATTTGCAGTTCAAGGAAGGGGAGTCTAGCGAGGTAGCTATTGAGATTACGGACGAGATGGGCACTGGTCGTGAGAATAGTTGGGAGGAAAAATCGTTGCGCAAGGGGTCGCCGTCCCCCCTACGGCATCTGTATTCTGGGTCGCCGAGCTCTAGCTCGCCGGTGAGTACAGGGTTGGGTACAAGCCCCGGTTATGGTGGGCTGGGTACTTCCCCGAATACTAGGAGCGGTACCACGAGAACGCCGTTTATTCGCTCGTTAACGCAGTCAAGGGCAATGACTATGCCAAACACGACGAGCAGGTCTTCCTCGACGTCGCGGAGATCTAGTATGAAGAAGGCCTCACCGCCACCGACACCACCAATACAGACAGAGATACCGGTTGGAATACAAAGACTCCATCAGGTCTTACTCCCGAGCTTTGTTATGACACCGATATATTGGAGCCCGTTACAGGATGTGGCTTCGGTTATGCGGGGAACTTGGTTCTATAAAGATACAATGCTTCCGGTTGAAGCTAATATTGCAAACCGGCTTGAGGCTGGGTGGGAGGAAGTTAGGGCATGGACGGAAGAATGGGAAATGGAGCTCTCAAGTGCCGTTGAGGTTGGCCGCGAAGGCGAGGAGAAAGTAAGGTGGCAATTGTTTGACAAGAGTACTGCTTCTGCCCCGCCAACACGCCCGGGGACTTCACTCGGTGAAGGGCACCAGGAAGGGGAATGAGCAGCTTCGAGACAGAGCATCCGATCAACTCTGCAACTCTGAAGTCAGGCGTGGCCGGTAGTGTAACACCGGGGCAAACGACGGCAAATGAAGCCGATTGGGTCTTATTTGCCAATGCAGTTGATGCGTATATCTGCCGTGATACTATGTTGAGTTTCGGAAATAAAAGACCACTGGCGAATATCAGGAAGGGGAAAGTTGTCGGGACACATGTAGTCCGCGGATTTCAGCAAGATGTGTGGGAACGCCTTCATCCATCCAGCAAGAAAAAGAAGGTTGCGGCGTCTGGCACTGCCGCTAGAAAGACGAGATCAACATCTACCTCCGGTGTTAGTACGCCCACCGAAGCACGGGAAAGAGAAAAAAGACGAAGTACGACCGGTAGTGCAGAGGCACCGAAGGAAGATTTTGAGACATTGTCATTAGAGGGCCTAGGACCCGATGATGAGGAAAGGATAGAAGTCACGGATCTATTTTTGGTGATTCATGGGATTGGACAGAAACTGAGTGAAAGGGTCGAGAGTTTCCATTTCACGCATGCGATAAATTCTTTTAGACGACATATAAACGTGGAACTTAGAGATCCAGCTGTGAGACCACTCCTTCGGGATGACGGAAAAGTCGGGATGATGGTGCTACCTGTAAGCTCAACTGACTACCCTGTTGCTGTCTTCACACTAAAGGTGCACAGATAAACTGGCGTCACAATCTCTCATTCGATGAAGAAGGTCTCTCCAACGGACATTCCAACAACAGCGAAAACGATTTCTCTCTTGAAGATATTACTCCCCCGTCAATCCCAGCTGTGCGTAACTTGATTGGTGATGTCATGCTCGACATCCCTTACTACCTCTCCCACCACAAACAAAAAATGATTGGCGCGGTTGTGAAGGAAGCAAACCGAGTGTATGGTCTATGGCGGCAAAACAACCCAGACTTTGAAAAGAATGGCGGTCGAGTTCACATTATCGCACACTCACTTGGAACGGCAATTGCAATGGATATCCTCTCTAGTCAGCCTACCCATGTCCCCCAAGATATGAAGAGGGAAACAAGAGATACCCAATTCGATTTTGATACCAAAAATGTCTTTTTTGTTGGATCTCCAGCTGCATTTTTCTTACTACTCAACAAGCGAACCTTGCTGCCCCGGCGTGGAAGGGACAAGAAGGAATGCGACTCATCAGACACTGATCCACATGTCACCGGTTTGGCGGGAACCTACGGCTGTATGGCCGCCGACAACATCTATAATGTCCTTCATTACTCAGACCCTATCGCGTACCGTTTAAATCCTACTGTCGACGCATCGTATGCAGCCTCTTTGCGCACTGTATACGTTCCTAGCACTGCAACAACATTCCTCGATACTCTCATCCGAACTGTCTATCCATCATCATCGGCAAACGTGCACAACACTCCATTCTCGCGTCTACCATCAACTATAGAGCTTGAAACACACGATTTTTCGCGCGAAGAGCTCGCTGAAAAGAGGTTGTATTTATTGAACGACAACGGGCAGATTGACTACTTTTTGCAAAGCTCGGGGGCCTTGGAGAATCAATATCTGAATATTCTAGGCGCTCATAGTTCATATTGGGAGAGCAGGGACTTTATTCGCTTTTGCGTTGTGGAGGCCGGAAGAAAGGAGGGTAGAAGCGGATGTGTTCGGGGCATGGGCGTGAGGAAGAAGAGAGGATGGAAATAAAGACATTTCCTTGGACTTGGCTGAGTTGCTTGATGAAGCGATTCACACTCATACCAGAGTAATGTAGGGTACACTCGGTGTAGGGCTCTTTTTATATTTTTCTTTCTCCCTTCACCCCCTTTTGTTCTCTTTTCGTTCTCGTCATTTAGGGGAGTTGACATTTTTGTGTGGCGTTTGTTTATTTGATCACTTTTTGCCTGTATTATATTCCACTGGGCGTTTGTTTATTGTTACGTTTCTGCTCCACTGTCGTGTACGTTAGCGTTGGACAGGATCATACATCATGAGCATTGGTTGCTGTTTAAAATTGTAGTTGTAGTCTAGATACCAAATGATTTTCCCACTGTGAGGGCAAAATTGGGGCGGGAATACATGCCTCGCTAGCTCAATCGGTAGAGCGTGAGACTCTTAAGCGGAATCTCAAGGTTGCGGGTTCGACCCCCGCGTGGGGCTTTCATATGAAAGCATCATGATAGTGTGATATCTTTTTGTTTCGTTTTTACTTTTACAATGTTCTTGGTCACTGGCAGATTTTTTTTCGGTTACCGGCGGAAAGATTTTTTTTCGTGGTGAGCCTGGATCACGTGAGATGGTGTGACGAGTGATACCTTATGCTTAAATCCGTTATTCGCTTCTTTTTTTTTTTTTTTGTTTAATTCATTAATTGCCGTTATTCGCTTCTGTCGGAGCGGCCCGCACTGTATTGCGAATTGGTGTAATCCTATGTAGTCTGGTAATAGGAAGCCACATAAATCGTGGTGGGGAAGAAATTTAAAATTTAAAAATCGAGGTTACGTTTAACTTTTCCTAGGTTGAACATCTTCGCGAGAACAGGAGACCTCAGGTATATGTAGTTGGGGCGCTGCGGCAGTAAGCGCAAGTTCAGTTTGGGGAATGGGAGTAATTAGGTCATTGGATCATTATTCTGCTCGGGATTGGGGTGCGACGAGCTTGAAAAACGAGAGAAGGCAATAAAATGAACAAATAGTAGGGTAGGGGGAGAAATGGCATACATGTAGTTTCAAAGCCAGTACTGTCAGCTACATGTACCTGGAAACTGTGATCTATGGATCGTGATCGTGAATATATGTTACATACAGTTGATACATAAACTTCAGACGATATCATATATATGCCTCCTGCTTAACACTACATGTAGCCCCATACCCCTACTAATGTAGCCTCATCCGCGATCCGACGGTATCAGCATGTCTGCCAGGGTGCCTTTGTGGGCTATGATACAAATTTTATCTCTCGTAAGTTCTCGCAGATTATGTCTTCTCGTTTCCAGCTATTGATTCTGGCTCACAGAACCTCTGGGTATGTTTAAAAATTCAAGAAATCTAATATATTTGTTTACCCCTTAGGCAAGAAGGGGTTTTTTTCCAATAAATTCATTCTGGATTTCTAAAGCAGCAGTTGGAGAGTCTACTAGTGTAGACGGGAGATATATGTTTTTGTTAATTCAGAAGTTTTTCGCATTTTCTCCTATTTGTATTCTTTGACATGAGAAGTATGTTGTTCTCATGATACGTGTTCTTTATGAAAGGTCTATGTCCCTTCTTCTCATATTACATCAGATTGTTCAATACAATACTTTGATAAAATCGCCTTCAACATTTTAAACACATACTAGATTCTCTCCCTAGTTGCATGTTTTTTGAGATTAAGGCGGGTGCCCTGAGGTTCTAGCTTTATATTTCTTTTACCCTGTGTTCAGGCAAAAGCCTTTCCCGACGGAACGGCACTTATACGCATACATGAGCAGCACTACCGGGGCAAGGGCAAACTCCCAATTCACGATAGACAAAAGGATGTTTTCAAGATACGTAGGTACATATCCTCCCTACAGATAATGGGCCTTTCGCTCCCGCTGCTGGAGTACGCAGTGCTTTTCTCAAACTAGAAAGCTGAAGAATCTTGTTTAGAGCCTATATTACCCTTTTAAAGGTAGTTTAATAATTTCAAAGCCTCAGATAGAACACCGGCCCGCTATACCAGACCCTCCCCTGCCTATAAACTCGAAGCTGGCTCACCGTCTCACTTAGTGACATTTACTGTGGCTTTTCGACACCCACGAAAAAGGGTTAACATTTACATTTACGGATTAAGGGACAGTGCTTCGTATAAGCATTTTTCAGATAAGCAGCCAGTCTCCATGTCTAGTTCCATACCTCTGAACTGTTATGGCTTGTTCATGTTCGTGGCGTTGTTGGATTATAGGCAAGCTGGCGTAAGAGTTCAAACTTTACGACCACTCCTTTCATTACACCATCTATCGAACTCTTACAGAATCTACCTCCATCTAGGTGGGACGGTGAAACATTCCCATAACGTTCCGCGGCTATCTCCCGTCTTGACATGGTAGCATGCCGAGTGATGAACCATGAATCTGAAACATAACCATCAGAAACAGACGACGTTACAAACGCTCATGTTGATTCGGAGTCCCGTAGAGTATAACTACTACGGCCGAGTAGAAAGCGACACTCCGCCCTCTGGAAAATTTGCGAGACACCAGGTCAGTATGACCCAGCGCTGTGGTTATGGTAAAAAAAAACTCGTCTGATTATATATGAGACATAACCTGAGCTCATCTATGTGCCCCCTGATTCGCCTGTGCCTTGGCGGTGATTTACGGAGGCGCATATCCAAGCCACCGTTCCCCGGTGCTCGGGAAGGAAAGAAAAACCTGGAGATGGGTTTACTGGTAACGGGTTTGGGGGCCTGAGACTGTCTTTGTTCTTGGGCCCTCTGATAAAGTTGTTGCTTTCGAGGGCGCATGGAGCCCGGAGCCCGGAGCCCGGAAGCACAGTTGCAGCTAGAAATCCTTCAGCTGAGCGCCAGTGGATGTTTTTTTTACTTTACTCTGTCTTGTCTTCTTAGCCCAATCTTAAGCTCATTGATACTGGTTGCTGCACAAGGTCTCACTGGGTGTGGCCATAATCAGTCAAGTGAGCACGATCAATTTTTCATGGTGATGGTGGTCTTATCACCAGTTTCTGTGCTTGCTCCGCAGGCGCTTGGGAAAATCAGAAAGCAAGTGCTCTAGTTGATTACTTAGTCAATCAGATGGGATAACTGTATGTTTCTATCATTCCCCTTACTTTACTTTCACGATCATTATCCATCTATAGCTATCCATCCATCCGATCCGCTCAGCTTAACCATATATCTATGCATTGCAACGGGACAATCACCACTCATCACTCACCACCTCCAACCCCTGTTTTCCGTGTTTCGCATATACCATACCCGGGCCTCGATTTCGGCCCGCAAGACCAAGAGAAAAAAAAGAGCTCACTCTAAACGGATAAATGTACAATGTGTACTCTACAGTTTTTTCTCATTTTCCAGCTGTAGCTAGCGTCTCCCAGCACCCCCATCACCCCCAGTTATCGTGATGGGGTGATAACAGGCTCCCTGTCAATCAGTCTTTTGTGTGTGTACTTACCAAGATGGGCACGCCTAATTAATTTAATTGCGCAATGCCATCCCGGTAATGTTACTAAGACGTTACACTACGCCGTTTTTGAAGGCGGCTTCGTCACCGCGCAGTGAGCATCTTTAGTTAGTTGGGCGACGTAGGAAGAGAGATGTTATTGGGATCGATTGGATTGACATGCAGGTTGGCGGTAAGGGATATTTAATTAATAGTATTCATGGGAGACAAAAGTGACAATTTGTCTCTGTGTAAATGGTTGGAGAGTTCAGGAGGCGAACGCATGTGAAGACGACATGTGAATTCCAAACTGAGCTGATGAAACCGTTTCTTCACGCTTTAGCTTCTCCAGGACCGTTAAATGAATACATGATTTTGATTTATAACCCGCCGCCCCGCATTCAGGTGCATAACCGAACCATCATAGATACATGTAGATAAGTACCCTTGAAATACATATGTAGCTACTTATCATGATCGTTTACATGCAGCTAGAATATTCTCCGAGTGCAAGCATCGGAATACAATCCGAAGTGGAACTCTAGGTGATTTGCAGTTCAAGGGCACCAGCACCCGTTTTTATTCTTAATATCTACTCGCGCGTTAATTAAGTCCTGAGAAATTTTGTGAGGTCGTTGCTACCAAGAATTCTCAGGACTTAATTAATGGGCGAGTATGTAGCTATCTATTCGTTCCGTATTTTGAAAACCCCCCCGAAAAGCCGTGCCTAAACTCCGAGAAATGACAAAAAAATGAGACCCATTACTCCTAATCATACCTTCATGATATCCGTTTTACTTTTCAACCTTCACATTGATCGCATCGGGGCTCATATCGGTGCCTATCCTCCAGCCCTTGCCGTATTTCTGGACGATTGGTACGATGGCAAAGACAGCGACACAGATGATGGCCTGTGTGCCGAAAGACCAATCAGCTCCCACCTTTGTGGCCCACTTTGTTTGGAATAGGACCACAGTGAAGCCGAAGAGCACTCGAGTGAAGTTTAGGAGCGCTGATGCAGCGGCTGATTGCTGGGGAAAGCAATCAAGAACATAGGCTGAGAAAGTTAGTGATATTCTTGATTAGTAAAAAAAAGAGGGATCCTAGTTACCAGAAATAGTGACAGTAGATGTCATAATTGCAAATATGAAAAGACCCCAGAAAAATGCAATAAGACCCCAGTGCCATAGACGATCAAGTCCCACACCGAGAAGAACCAAGCCGATGCACATAATGCCAACTGAGAAGTACAATGCCCACAACCGTGATTCTGGTTCAAAGATTCCCTTATTTCTCTTAATGGAGCGTAATTGGAGAGCATCGTTGAACTATGTATCTGTTAGGAATAGAGCTTCATAATTAAGGGAATCAATATAAAAGGAAAGACCTACAAAATGGCCCCAGAGTTCACCAATAACGACGGCAGTCATAGGTGCGAAATAAATCAAGCCCAATGCGATAGAACCAAACCCATAACCCTTTGGTACAGCTGGTACAAGGAAAAGAATGAGAGTACCATTGATTCCAACGCTCCACATAAAGGTGATTCCATGGTAGATGACTAGGAAATGTTAGTTCAATTACACCAAAACCGATGAGTATAAGTGTGTCTTTCTGGAACTTACATAGCATATAAAACTGAGGCTTGACGAATACCATTATCAACTCCCATGTTCCTTGACACAAACTAGGTCTCCCCTTCATACGATGTCCGGTAATGCCTACAAGCGCGAACAACTTCCGTTTAAAGCATCCCTCTGGCTGAGGTGGATTATTCTCGGGGACAACACGGTCATATGTTGTTTCCTCCATGAGGAAGATCACCAAGAGTAAACCAAATCCTACAATGCCAACAACAATCCAGAAGCTTTCACGCCAATGAAGGTTGTGAAGAATCATGGAGGAGAGAAATGGCCCAAAGTATGGGCCAATGAGAATCGACCATCCCCAAATCCCGATTTTGCGTGCATGTTCCTCGAAGTAAAAACTAATTAATGTTAAATGAGAGCAGAAAGAGAGGGGAGTATTAAAATAAAAGGGAAAAACATACATGTCCTGAATAACGGTCAAACCGAGCACCTGAGCGGAGGCTGCAAAAAAGCCTTGAAGAACTCGAACAGCAATGAAACCAAGCCACGTTGGACAAGTAGCACATGCAATTGTCATAAAGCATGTCATCAGTGTGCTCCAGAACATGACCGGTAAGCTTAATGAATCTACTGTCAGTCTTATTTTCACTGATCTCGGTAATGCAATTTACTCACGTTCCATAACGCTGGGCAAAGGGAACAGCTACCAAGCTACCAAAACCTTGCATAAAAGTGTTTCCAGATAAAGAACGTGAAGCATCAACTGAACTAATGCCCCATTCTTTACCTTGTGGGATGATCATGGGTACACCATAACCAGCGAGAAAGTCGGTCATGAAGGTCATGTAGCAAATTGCCACGAGAATAAGATGTTTCTTCTTCCAAGACCACTAAAAGAGAGAAACTGTCAATTGATTCTGAAAAGATAATAGATGAAAGATTCGAATCAGTTCATACCTGAAGGGGATCATGAGGGTCCTTAAACTTTGTAGTTTCAGTGTACTCAGAACGAGAAGCTGAAACCAGTGTATTTGCATCACGTTCAGGATCGGTGGCTAAGTCGTTTTTTTCTTGAATAGTAGTAGCCATCTTATGATGAAATCTAGTTGATGATGATGAGAAAGATTTATCTTTTTTAGAAGAGGACGAAGAGAGAATACGAGTGAGAAGAAGGGGAAGTGGGGACGAGGCAAGACTTTTATAAAGTGTGAATATGCTATTGAGACTCTCAATGAGGCACTAGTGGTAAAGTATAATTTTCTCTATATCTAAATACTACATGTATATATGTATATTGTACGTACTTGTATATAACACATACGGTAGAATACGTACCCTTGCCTTACAAAACCTGGGAATTGCCTACAAGAAGACGGTCCGAGTCGGAGCAGAATCATCCTCGGGGGCATCAGCATAGACCTCGGAGCAAACAGCACCGAAGATCGGACCGTTACTCTCAGACTCGACACTATATCCTTGTCTACCTGGAACGTCAAACCTCTTTATCGAGGTCTGGAATTTATGCTTGATGCAAAAATTGGGCAAATGTCTAGGGCTTGTAAGCGATCATATTCTGCAGGGGGAAGCGGAATTGCGCACAAAAGAATATAGGTATATGTAGCCGGGATATGAACCTGAGATCAGATTAGAAACCGGGTGGAGGATTGTTGACAGCCCATCAAAGGTGCGTCTTAGACCCTGGCAACACACACACTATTGAGGTTATCCGTGCCTACGGGGATATAAGAAGGGTTCCAGAACTGACACAATCCCGGGCCCGGGGATTACATGCATCCCGGACACTCTGTAGATCCGCTAGTGGCTTGTTTCTGTAATTCGTCACTCTCTGACCTGAGGGCCTGTCTGTTTCTTAGAAGATTGATATATGTGCTTTGGCTTTGCAGGAGACAGTAGACAGTTTCGAAAAAGACGTCAGACGACGAAGTTCCTTCTAGAAGTATCTCAGATTTGATAATAAGACTCAGTGCTATCGAGACTGTGCCTGTAGATTCCTCCTGATATCTAAATAAATTGGTTCGACCACAAGATCGAGAGTGGATGAAAGTTCAACTTGATTAGTAGATAAGATTAGGCCCCTGTGGCCAAATGGCTGATATTCGGACTACATATATGCCCTTTCGAGCCAGCACCTTTCTAGGGTCAGATAAAGCACTGTATATACCACTCGTCGTGAACAATTTATATACATGTAAGTATGTGTAAATCGATTTATATAACTTCTCTAATTTATATGCAGCTACGTTTGAATGTCGACTGCATTTACCTGTGCATTTACTTCATGTATGTAGCTAGAGGACACAAATTGCAATATAATGGTTAAATGTACAGGCAATTACAGTGCTCTAGACCTTCTAGCTTCAATTGTGGCCTTTCAACGTACTTTCCGTTCTTCCTCTGCTGGATAAGAACAAATCACATATCTCCACAATCTTCACCAGAGATCCCGCTAATCAAAGTCCAATATATTGACTCGCCTAGCTAGGTTCTCGACTGGGTTTATACCGGCCGGTCACGTGTTGATAAGGAAGTTCCCCTGCACAAGATTCTGGGATATCCCAAGCGCTTCGATCAAGCATGCAATGATCCAACAGAAACAACAAACGCCAAAGGAACAAGTCATTATTCGGAACTCGGCATTTCTCAAGAATGTGCACAACTCTAATGAACTACTTGTCTACAGACAAAACTACTGCTTGCGTGTCTACACATTCTAGTGCAATCGTACGATCTCAGCTCGAAGCCCTCCCCTCTATAGATCTAACTAAGCCAGAAATATTTAATAACTCTTCTTCTTAAGGGGGCCTCCGTTTCCGAGTTGTTCTCTAGCCGGTGTTACATCAGACCCAAACAATCCAATATCAATCCCCAAAGGGACGATATTCACTCAAACCACACAACCCATTAAACCCAGGACCCTGAAGAATGGCGGCGGCATATTAAGTACGTGGCATCTTGCTTGAACACATCTGGGTCACTCGAGTCAGCCCTAACTGCAAACAGGGACCATCCAAACCGTCCGAAAAAAAGCTTGTTTCGACACTTGGCGCGGCGTCAATGATCTGATCTGATCCTGCGGTGAAGTTCCCGATATCCGCCATCCTTCTCCGATGTCAAATCTCCGGTGGAATGATGCAGCCACCCAGATTATGTATGTGCCTGTCAGCCCGTTGCGATTCCCGAGCTTTCCCTCGGAGTGGTTTAGTTATGCATATCGTGAATAGGCTATTATCACGCAATCCATCGGGCCTAGTGTGATCGTGCTATTTCCACTCCGAAGCCGAGTCCGACGTCGCGGGGCATGCCAGTTAATTTGAAACGGGGCTCCTAAGGAGACACCTATCTCTATCAAAACAACGGATCCGTCCTATCCGAGGCTTAAGGCGTTTTTAAATATCTCTATCTTTTTAATTAGGTTAACCGGTGGGGTTTGCCGTCGCGCGTTTCTAGCCCATCCCCATTTCTATCAACGGTAATCCTGATAAATGTTTACAAATATGGAATTATTGAGCTATGGCGATAGACTTAACCTAATAGCTCACGGGCTGGGTAAACAGGGCAATATCTATGGCGATGAATTGGCTGATTTCAGTTATCATGAGTTAGAATGGTTTGTAGGCGGGATGAAGATGTGAAACAATTCATGTTCGACGACCATGAGAGTGGTTTAGTATACCAGAGTTATTTCTACGGCTTTATGGGTAGGCCGCTCATGATTTCGATATATCTTTCAAGCCAAAAATAGCAGATCTGGCAGGCTACTGCTAACCCAAATTTTACATGTATGGGGGCAGGGTTATCAACATACCATCCCAGCTGAAGAGCCTTATCTGTCTTTCGTTCAGCGAAACCCATGCTAGAAAACTGAAGGCAACACCCTTCAATCGTCAGATCAACGCTTTCAAAACTTGTCCATTCTCAGATTTTATGGAGCCAAGAAAAAAAAATTGAAATTTAGTAACCCCACGCGGGGGTCGAACCCGCAACCTTCAGATCTCAAATCAGATGTAATCCAATAGAAGTCTGACGCGCTACCATTGCGCCAGCAGGGCTGCTGACTGTCCCTGGCAATTATTTTTTCCTATTCAAATTCATGAATTTGTTTCAATCTAGGGGCATCGAAGTGCCTAGGCTTTCAAAAGTACGTCATGTATTGCTTGCTGACTTATCGGTTGTTACTACGACCCTCATTAGTCAACCTAATCCGCACATCCTTTACTGGAAGCGAGTAGCACTACATACTTGCCAGATTTTTGAATGGCCCAAAATCCGTACTACTATTAAAAATCTGGCAAGTAGTTTCAATACTCTAGACACAGACTAGAGAGGTATTCACTTTTAGAAATATTTGCCTTTATAACGCTACGTTACAATGCCGCTTATACGGCACTAAACTCTTCAGAAACTTGAATACCTCTGGAGTGCACATGCCATATTGTAGGAGCAAATCTGTCACCGTAGTAATTTAAGATTTTTGCTTAGCGTACTACATACTCTAATCAATCGACCGATTATCCTGCATATATAGTCTATATTTTGGATAATAAGATAAGTTGGTGATGCTTATTTTCTCCTCATACATATTTCAGAATACGCGACTGCCAATTACTTTAAGCGGCCCATATAAGCACATGCTTATAAGAGCACGTATTTGAAGAAGTGAATACCCCCTAGGTATATTTTATGGATTCCTTTCCTTATATCAACATCACCAACTATCACCCGCCCCGGTTATTTATATCATTAGTTATCGTAGAGATCTGCAGGAACAGTGCAAAACTCCAACTCCTCTCCTTGCCCATTTTGCCCCAGGGCAAGACATCTTCCACAAATGCCTTCCCGCTGGCGCTTCGCCCTTTCCAACTCCTTCTCTTTCTCCGCATTTATCTCTTTACACTCAAGCATAGCGAGGACAACTACAGTGATCCCCATATCGACCGGAGCCGCCACAAAAAGCATTATTGACTTTTGAACTCCAATTGGTAAAAGCAAGAGAACGTAATAGCACATCGGAATGATGTTTACCACGATGCTGCACCATTTATATTTGACTGAAGAGTTGATCTGGGGCATGTCCTCAAACGACGAAGGGGGCAGCCTATAAAACGCAATTGGAAGATATGTATTGAGGCTGATTGTGGAGACGAGAACGTAAATGATTGCGAAGCTGGACATAAATCGGATGCTGCATTTCCCTTGCTCCACTTTGTATTCATGGCTGCATGAGATATATGGATTAGCATTATGCCGTTCGAAATATTATCAGAAAGAAGAATTACGTACCTTGAGATCAAGAAGTAAGCTGTCAGTATTGAGGAAATTAAAACAAAAATCGGGTCGATATAGTAGGATATTTTCTTTGTCTTGTTGTAACGTTTACGGGGAAAGTGTAGCTAAAATCAAATCTCGTGAGCTTCTTGATATGCCTGGGTGTGGATCGGGGGATTTTTGTTAACCTTTTCATTGAAATAAATGTGTACCAGTGATTTTACAATTGGCCAGAAGATAGTGCAGACAAGATATACTACATCACATGTTGATTCGGATACTTCTGTGCTATCATCAAGAACGAGTCCACCCATTGTGAAAGTGAAGACAATCGCGAGGAAGTTGATAAGAACAGATACTAGTAGCATTTACTATGATTAGTTATCCAATGGGGATTTTTGACCCGCTATTTCATAGATGAAACTTACGAATACGGGATAACTTTGATAGACCCAGAGGTAACAAATTGTAGCTCAAGAGTGCAAGAGTAAAGCACAATAATGTCGTATGGAGCAGAATAAGGATAGCTCCGATGCCTGTGGCTAAACCAGGGCCTCTTGGTTCTATAATCGTCATAGTTGACAAGCTGAAGCAGTTTCTGGGACTTTGTTTGATTGAGTGAGCTGATTGACAATTTCCTCCGATGTGAGGGATGGGTGATAAGGAGTAGTAGTGTGGGGAGTCGATATATCTGAAAACGTATTCGTGTCATTAGGTCATCTTAATAGTCCCTAGGCCTGCCGTCCCCATATATACCACTAAATATTAGTACATGTAATATAAAGCAAGCGGCAATTACATGTATAAGGCCGTACCACGGTCTAGCTACGTTTACTCTATATAGGCGAAGTACGTATACCCAACGATCACAATTAAAGAAAGATCCGATTGAACTCTGATAGAACTGTAGATTTTTTCTTACTTTCGAATTAATATTGTAGTTTCTGATCTCGGTGCAGTATGACCGGCCTTTGACTTGTAAAGCTGTTTCATACTTCATACACGTATTATTTATTTACATGTGTGTGTGCTTCTATTACGCAGCACTTTGGTTCAGTGTGACCCATGAGCTCGAGACCGGGGTACCCCATATATACATGTACGTACGTGCCTCGCTCAGAGTATACGCCTCGAGTCGACTCGACTTTTTAATAGATCAGAATACTAGAGACAAGCTTAGCTTATTGGTTCCTATTAATATATTCTCCCTTATATATATATATCTACATTAATTCCGGGTGGTCAACAACATGTGTAGTTAGAAAAGGTTAGTTGAGTACTGTTTCTTCATTTATCCACTGGATTGTTACATGTAGTTTTACTCTTGTGCTCATCCGGCACCTACATGTAGTACATACATGATGTATGTACTAAAGTACCTGCGTGATTACATCTCATCAAGATTGCCATATATAATATATGTACATGTACATGGAGGCAATACCTCAAGGAATATTACCGAAACAACCCAAGGTGTACATGTCTGTAACTCGAGGTAGCCCGAGTCAGACTACCTCGATACAGTAGAGGCATTATACTTATATAACTCGGTACAAATCCTCATCCTCACCTCTCAGATGAGTTTCCACCTCAAAGAATTGAAAATCAATTAACTATCAGTACGTTTTTTTGTGTTATTCTCTTGCTAGGGATCTGAGAATCTTATGAAATTCTAGAGATATGGCTAATTTAACTGCCTCTAATGTGTTGTTTAATGATTTTTATTTTATCCATATGTAGTCTCGTCAGATTCTGTCAATTCAGTTCTACTTAAAAATTTCGACATACTCAACTACATGTAACGTTTACCCACGGTAAGAGAGGGGGTTCACTCCAAACTCTGTATTCATTCTGTAAAATATGAAATTCATGTCATTACCAGTATCTAAATAATCTAGGCATTTGTTTGGCTTTACTGGTAGTTGAGGTCTAGTCATTGCTATTGTAACTATGTACGTACATAATACTAGTAGTGGCCCACCTCGCGACCGCGAGGTCTTACTCCTGCTCAATAAACTCTCCTACCTCCGTGTAGTACTTCCCACCTATAGTAGTTGGCCATCTCCAGTAATTAATTATTATTGTCCTTAGCTATTCCGTGGCCAGCTCCAGCTCCCAGCGTTGACCATATCCAGCTCCATTATGGAGTATAGCCAGCTCCCGCATTTAACTATCCAGCTGGGTGGGTAGTTTCTCACCCAGAGTACATGTAGTTTGCCCACCTCTGGTAGTGATCCATTTATCAACAGTGAGGTATCTCGACTCATGCCTTCTTCACTTATATTGCCGCCGCCGATTCCACCTCCGTGTAGTAGTTGGCCAACTCCAGTAGTTAATTATTTTTGCCCTTAGCCACCTCGTGGCCAGCTGCCACCCCGTTGACCATAGCCAAATGTGGTAGTAATCCAGTTCATGAGGTATTTCGACTCATGCCAGCTCTACTGTACTTAGCCACCTCCAATAAATACCACCTCCAATACCCATCCTGTTAATGAGTTCGGCATTCCAGTGTCATTGCCCGCTCCCAATTTTTGCTGGGGAGAGCCGGTTGCTACCCAGTTTGTGCTTACTAAACCTACCCCTGTCGCTGTCGACCAATCAGACTGCAAGAACCTCGGAAAATCATTATTCTAGTACATAGTAGATAGTACCTCGAACCCTGACGTGAGGACTATCAATATATTTCTTACTCGTGCAGCTTACTCTTACATTTGAATCTGCAAACTCGCGTACGAGATAAAAATACAAGTAGCAGCCAAAACATGGTAGGTTGTGGATTTTAGAGCATTGAATGAACCAGAATAAGAAAACCAAATTAAACCGGATATAGTTAACCCGGCGGACTCAAAGCCCCATTAATGCTTTCATTTGGCCTCATTCTTCCCGAATTGAGCGCTACTGGTAAAAGCCACACATAATCCTTTTTCTCAAACCATCCTGTCTGTTTGATGGTGATTCGATTATCTCTCGCAAACTTAAAGTAATAACAATTTCTCATCACTGTCTCGATTAACCACTCTTCCGTAAGTTCCACTTTCTCCCATAGAGCCTCTCCCCATCCTTCGCCGTCTTCTGGGTCTTCGCGGGTGAAGTATCCCTTCTGTTTCCCAAGGAGGACCCGGAAGAGATCGCTTAAAAGAGCACCCCCACAGACTTTATGGGTAACGAAACATCCGTCGACATTATAGTAAATAGGACCTCTCTTGAGAAGGTGAATATTAACTCGAAAGTGACCCTCACTGCAATTTTTATGCCTTGCAAGCCATGATTTATTCGAGATGGTTTCGAGAAAATTGAAAGTATTCTTGCCAGCAAAGATCAGGTTCTTCCCGAGAATCTCATTCTTTATAATCGGAGGGTCATGAGGCGGCCCTGTCGCCTCTGTTTCGAGTTGTTGGTTTTTATAAAACCATGTTGAGATCCCTTTATATAGCTGTAGGCTGTATCGTATAGAAGAACCCTCAAATTCAACAATACTATGCGTATGATTTCCAACAGCCGAAGACATATCATCTTCTATGAAAAGCATGATTGGTGACACCAAGTGCACAGAATTAGTGAGGAGTGCGGAGAACTTTTCGTGTATATCAGGAACCTTTATATGCCCCACATCTTTAACGTAGATACAGTCATCCTGTATGTCTTGGTAGTATGGCAATGGTGGAAGCCAAAACATACTCGTACTGACTTCAATGTTTTCGTTGACCCCAACCTCTTCTGCGTACTCTGACATTTTGGGTGTATAACAGCTCCTTCAGGTATATTCGATAACTCGATCCATTAAAATTTCGATAGGTGAAAAGGTTGATCGATTCCAGATAAAATGTCGAGAAGCGAGTTACGGGGAGTAATGGATGGTTGAGAAGAGTAAGAACTTAAAATTTTATCTAGGAACCGAAAAGATAACCTAAAACAAGCAAAATTACGGAGAGGTGTCTCTTAAAATTCGGTTGAACACGTTCTGTGTTATGTCACCTCGAATACTAGCGCCAAAAAGAAACACATACGCGTACGTGTAGCGATTTATAAGTCCGTTTATGAAAAAACACAAACGTTTCCAGTTTCCTGGACTAAACACATGCACGTATATTATACCTTTTCCCATGAGCTCGAGGATAAATAACTCACTGGGTAACAACACGATTAGTTATGGACACGAGAAAAGACCCGGTGAGCCTAGTCGGGCTGGCTGGGAAGTGCCTTGAGATTACGTTTCTGTTTGTTTCTCGGGATAGATGGTGGGACCTTTTTGAAACTGGAGCAACATAGGATGCAACTAGATATTTATGTGACTTTTGATAGTTAAGCTACACAGCCATAGTAGAGATATCCCGAAAGCCCCGAGATTCACTACACATTAAGTAAGGATGAAACAAGATCACCCCGGCATTTGGAATTGACTTGTCTTGTATCCGTCACTGACAACAATTATACCCAGTTCCATGCATGGTATCGAATGGTGTTGAAAATGATGATAGGTTTTGTTGATCGACCCGCTCTTGGTTACAGGTGGTAGGAGAAAAGGAAATCAAGGAAAGAAGTCGCTGACCACGACCCTAATAAGTATGACTCGTCACTTATCCTCCTCCTTAGCCGTCCTCCCCGTAACTCAGAACTAATAGGCAGTGAATATAATAGCCAGTGCTTGGATTTGTCAACTAACGGGAGCCCAGAATTTCTCCTGCGATTCTCATACATATGCAGGATATTCGCATACGACCATAACTACATGTAAGCATCTATCCGGTTTACTGGTATGTTTCACTTGCTACCTGACACCTACAGCTGACGGTCAATTAATGAATTATCAATCAATCAATCAATTACAGCTGACGGTCATATATTATCACTCGAATGTATCGTATCAGATATTGTTGAAAAAGTTGAACGAGGACAAGACAATTGAGTTACTTTGTTGTAGTCTCGACAAAGAAACTAACTAGTAGCTATATAGTCACGTATCGGACACATAGCTGTCTTCGACATGACAAGGACAGGTCTCGTCATGACACATCACCCGCACCCGTTCGACCTCGACATGACATATCACCCGTACCCGTTCGACATCATTTGAAAAGCCAAATATCCAACAGATACATATCAGGTTGCAACCCCACCCAATTGTAGTTTCTTGCTTACCACTGAGTAGACACTAGATTTAAGCTCTCTCTTCCCTTTCCTTCCACACAACATGCACTTGTGCGGCAACTTGAACGCTCGAAAACGTAAACGGGGTCTGTACCTGGAAATGACGTCTTGGCACCCGAAGTATCCTAAAGTACGTAACCTAACTTTAACCTCACCTCACCTCACTCATCCAAGTAACGGTGAGAAATCTGAGAGTGTGACTCTTCCGTTACGCAGAAGTCCTCAACAATCAGGTACATCTCCCCATGGCAACTTTCTCACCCCTTACACATACTCCGCCAGCAATGGCTAACATTAAGGTGTTAATGTGATACTTAGCTATAGTCTATATAGATCATTACCTCTCATGGCATTCCAGCTTTTTGAAGCCTTCGATGAGTAACATCCTAGGGGCTCTCGGCTTAGCGGTGAAGCGGCATAGACGCGCTGCGGCGGCTAAAAGGTCCATCCAAGACTCAAATAGCCTATGGGTCATCATAATTGCCAAAGTTTGTCGGCATCATATAGGGGGGAAGAGTTCAAAAGCTAATCAATCAGCTACCTGTACTCCGGAAGAAGAAATATTCTCATATTGATTATAACCCCAGGGACCCTGGCCTTTCATGAGCTGACTTTCCCTTATCTGTCCTCAAGTAGTACATGTTCAGTCTGAACTGTTCGGGACAAAAGGCTTTGGGTCAGAGGTTGAGTAATACCTTTCACAAACGAACACTCTGAATCCAGCTCCAATTCTGATGCGGACCAGAACAACGGCTGGCGGAAATACTTGTTACAAACACTCCAAACTAGCAACCGAAGCGACCCACAGACCTCAACCGCGGTGCTGGACAGGCGGATACCAAACCAAACAAACTTTGATGGCCCCGATGGCGATCAAAAGCGGGATAGGAGAGTTTTGGTGGATACGCGTATGCAGGATGAATCAAGAGCTTCAATGCACAGAAAAGCCCCGGGTATCCCATTATTACACGCCGAAAAACAAAGCCTAGGTACAGGCGGCAACCGGTGTGCCCTACCGTTACTTGGGTCTTCAGGAGACTTCATTTTTCAACGCGGCACAACTCACCCAGCGATATAAGTGCAGCCCAGTGAAGCATCTCTGATCAATTGACTTCTCGCTACGATTACTACTGAATTGAGCAGCCATGAACCCTTTCAAGCGAACCCGCCAAGCTCTACCACCAGACTCGGTCATGACAAACATCATGATAGTTACGATCAAAATAGCGACAGATGGGACAACAACTACGAAAACCGAGTTCAAAACTCGGAAAGCGCAATTCCCGGATCCGGTTGATCGATCCTACCTGCCCGAAAACAACACAACGGATCCCCTACTTCTTCTACCCGGAACAGTCACCACAATTACCACGGAGGTGTCAGTCCGAAGACCAATGTTGGGTTTTGGTGATACGGAATCCTTCACCAATGTAACAACTACCACTGTGCCATTGACAGAAAACCGCGCCCGCAAGTCATCATTGGTGCTAGCGGCAGCAGTTAAAGAGGAATATCGTGAAACCCCCGCGCCTGAATCGCCGGGTACACCTGAACCGCCAGCTACACCTGACCAACCAATGACACCCGAGCCACCAGCTACGCCGGGCACAGTGATCGATGATGCGATCCCTTCACCGTCAATACGCTCGCCCTCGCGCCTCATGTCGCTCGAGAATCTGGGGTATTATTCGGCAACTGATGATCCGACTCCCTCCTCTCCAGTGCGACCGCTCCCACGACTCATGTCGTTTGATAATCTAGGTAGTTTAGAACCACCTCAAGAGAAACTCAAACTGCGCCTAAGGGCTGTCAATTCGGGGATGGAAGGATATCAATACAACTATGTACACCACGACTGCTCAATTGAGGTCTTCCGAAATCTCCCACTCTCGTTGAAAACAATTGGTGAGAAGGTCCTTGAAGAGACAAAGTGGAGTCCAGACATACATTTTGAAGAGTTGGGGCTGGGACCGTCGTCCTGGAGAGAGGGCATGGAAGTGCTTGATCCAGATTCTTCAACCTTAATGGTTGCTAATCTTGACGGAAAGATTCCTAGTGATGTATGCCTCCCCAGCCTCCTCAGAGATTCCAGGTGAAACGGTACTAACTAATTGAAAGATTGGGTTGAGGAATGGCGATAGTTTGATAATATGGGGAGTGAAGTCTGAGGAAGGCTTGCCAGCGAAACAACGCTCGAGGACACCCGTCTTAGACAGCATCTAAAAGGAGGTATGAGGCTTGGCAACGTTTGGTGACTGACTAAGGGGTCTTGGCAAATGACCAGGAGTCATATTTTTTTCTTTCTCTTTCTTCTTTTCTTTGCGGTATATGGAGTTAAAGGGGCGTTAGACCAATGTTAGTGATTAAGCCTGGTGCGATCATACAGTCCCAGAGGCAGATAAGTTCATCTAGCCTTGGTCAACCTGCTATTTTTCATTTTCACAATGGATCGTTTTCACAGGCCATCACTCGAAATTCTCCTCGGAACCCGGAGGTTGTGATAAAAAGATGAGACTACATACAAACTGTATTATATACCTACTACATTGAAACTTGAAGTGGGAGGCCTCGGTACGATCATCGCTTCATAAATTGTGGTCTGTTTTCGGTTTCCATAGGGAATATTCGGTTCCGGTGAGCGTTAACAGCCTTAGCATAGGTACCACAATAAGTGCTCCTTTATGAGTTCTTGGCCCCGACGTATCATACAAAAAACTAGTACAATGCACAAAAAATCACTCCTCCTGTCCTCGAGAAAAAAGAAAAACCTCTGTCTCGGGGAGGAAAGGCTGGAGATACTAACTGCATTTATCTAGCCCGCCAGGGCAACAAAAAAAGGAGATTTACCGACAACGGCAGGGTTTGAACCTACGCTCCCGAAGGAATCAGATAACCGAAACAAATTCAAGTCTGACGCCTTAACCACTCGGCCACGTTGTCTTCCGTTTTGAAGATACTTTTAGGTTGTTAAAAAAATTTCCGGTCATAGTTGGTATTTTGCGCGTCCGTCACAGTATCGCACCCGAAGGATTGAATTTCCCTTTGCTACGGTTTTGGCCGAGTTTAAACTACGCTATGTTGTGGTTGTAGGGCGGCATTATTTTGTAGTGGTAGGGCTACGATGTGATGAGGTTGAATTTTCATCGCCCGCGCACAACCACCCGCTCCAAGCAATGGTGATGAGTTGAATGACAGCATGAAGAGGCGCCCGCCCTCACCGGCGTCGTGAATGCTACAAGTATATTCCTCAAATTAACCGAGCACCATAAAAGACTTCCATGATTGGAACCTTATTTAACCCTCACACCATGCTTAAACAAGGCTTATCGAAGCCTTATACAGCGAAAAAGGCTGTGAAGATCTTTTCCGAGTGATTTCGCATGAGTCCGAGCATGAGCTCAGAAACGCGAATATTAAGCTTGTTAAGTTCCGGCTCAGCAAGACAACGTGGCCGAGTGGTTAAGGCGTCAGACTTGAATCTCTCATTCGGTTATCTGATTCCTTCGGGAGCGTAGGTTCAAACCCTGCCGTTGTCGTTACTGAACATTATTTTTTTTGCTTTTTTCTCATTGGTTGGTTGTTGTCTTGGAACAGCCAGCTGCTGTGCTGTGCCTCTCTGCGCGCTCTTGGAAATTAAGGTGCTTAACCAAGTAAGTGCTGAGTGAGAATATACATAGGAGAGCCTTTTAGAGTAGTTGGTAGAGTTATTTCTTGGACCAACGGGTAGAGGCAGACTGCCTCCTTGTGTATGCGTGCGTTATCAATGCTAAAAAAAAAGACGAAAACTACCGGCCGAGCCAAAAACAAAAAAGAGAGAAACACCCGTATACAAATACATCAGGGAACAAAAAAAACGTCTACACAGGCCATAACAATTCCCTTGTAAACCAGACAAGACAAGACACCTCTTCCATTTTATTTTATTTCATGAGGGGGGCCCAGCCAGCCAGCCAGCCAGTTCCGCTACCCAAAGAAGAACGCATTCCCGCCCTGGTCCCTCCTCACCATGTTGCGGTAGTCGGTGTTTGGGTCAAACTCGGTCCACACGCTGGCGGGGAAGATGTGCTTGTTGCGCTCGTACCACCTGCGGTCGACGACCTTCGTCATGGTGGGGTCCTCCTTGCCGCCCTGCGTGGTGGTGGTGGGCTCGCCGTTGGGGTTGGGCGGGTCGAGCGGCGAGGGGTAGTCGAAGAGCGTGCCGTTGGGGCCTTGTGTGCGGTTCACGATGAAGTAGTAGAATTCGTAGTGCTGTGGTGCGGGGTGTTAGTTGTGGTTGGAGGGGGGAGAGGGGGGAAGGTAGACGTACATGCGGGATGATCACCTCCCCGCGCACAAGCAGCAGGTCGTCCACCGACACGCGCAGCCACTCGCGCCGCCCGCTCATGCGCCGCGCGCGCTCGAGGAACAGCCAGACCATCTCGCCCTTCTTGACCTGGACGCCGGAGCCGTCCGGGGGTGCGACGTTCGTGCCTACATTCTGACTGTCAATTGCCTATTCCCCAACTCTCGCAATGTCTAGGGGAGGAGGGAGGGGGCGAACCATCGTAAAACACAAACGGGATGCTGATCTCCTCATTCTTGATCTTCTCCTGCAGCGCCAGAAACTCCCTCCGCAGCGTCTCGCGCTCCTGCGCCTCGCGCAGCAGCGTGTTCTTGGTCAGCACCTTTGGCGGCGGCGCGCGCAGCTTCGGGTTTACTTTGCGCTTCTTGGCCTCGCCTACCGCCACCGCTGCCTCCCCCTCCCCCTCCCCCTCCCCCGGTCCCTCTACTTTTTCGTTGTCTTTCTTCTTCACCCCCCCCGCCTCTGCCTCCGCCTCTGCCTCCGGTGTCCCCCCCTCCTCATCGTCCTCCTCGCCGCCAAACGACAGCTTCCCCTTCACCACGGCCTTCCTCTTCTTCTTCCTCGCTGCTGCTGCTGCGGGCGCCGGCGTCTCGCTGCCCTCGCGTGACGAGGCCCCGCGGTAGGTCTGGAGCTTTTCGGCCGCCTCGCGCTCGCGCTGCTCGGCGAGCTCGACGCGACGCTTCTTGAAGTCGGACAGGTGCACCAGACCCACGGTCTGCGTCTTGAGCGCGTCCTCGAGCGTCTCGGTGTTGGGCGTGAAGCGCGAGTTGGGGGTGGTGGTGGGCGGCGTGGACGACATTTTTTGTGGGTGGTGTGGGGGGGTGATGACGTTAGGTGCTGGGGATGGTGCTTGAGGCGGTGGTGGTGGTGGTGGTGGTGGTGGTGGAAACCCTAACCCTGAGAACCCCGGGGAGGTCGGGGATTGGTTGGAGATGCGGTCAGTGGATGCGGGATTCGGGGATTGGTTGGAGATGCAGTCAGTGGATGCGGGATTCGGGGATTGGTTGGAGATGCAGTCAGTGGATGCGGGATTCGGGCCTACAGATAGAAGTTTGTGGGGAATCATGGACATCGCAGATATGTAGGTATTGTTTTGACCGCCCAGGCCATGCAGCTCTCCGCCGCCCGCCGAGGAACGGACAGGGACCATCAAGTATCTAAACCGATAAATTCTACCTACTCTCCCGAGATATGAGAAGATCACTCGCAGTCAAAAAGTATCAATTGATCCATCTATCACGGAAGGCCGAGATCCTTGGTCGGGCCTTGCTGCCCGCCGCAGTCGCCCAATTGAATCGCCCGCTATTATTTAAAAAATGACCGCAGTACAGGCCTAAACTATAACTGCACGCCCATTGTTGCCTCTAAACTAGTGTTGTCAAAAGCTTCATGAACAGACGCATAAACCACCCCATAGGAAAGGCAGAGACTCGATACAAATTTAGAGTACACCACCGACTGTTCACACAAACGTACATATACGTATGCAACTGATAATAGTGCAATTTAGCTATATATGCTTTGGGCCCTCTTTTCTTTTTCATATCTGCAGTTGATAGACTTTCCCAGGTTGTTTGTGCATATTCGCTGAATATAGACGAGTCTAGTAATGAACCTAGGATGTACTTAACAGTCGTATTCCCGATAGCAGCAAGCAAGTACGGCAGGAGTAGGGTATTCCGGCATAGCTCCGGCTCCCACTAACCACCGCAACCAGAAGAGAGATCGGGACGAAGGCTGAAAGGAAAGGAATGTGTCTCCGCTTAGAGTAGGCCGGAAATCGCGGCCTCACTGCTGAAGTGTTAACAGTATAGTACATGTAATTACCAACGGCACTGCAGACCGCCATCCATTGGATGTGGAGATGAAATATTGTTCCCGTCCCCCCACCGGTCCGTTTCAACATCATTGGCAACCAGACCAACCACGCCGGCCCGTTTAAGTACTCGCCAAGAAATAAAGTCTGGCGGTGAAATAAGTACTTAATTCACCCACAGACTTTATTTTTTGGCGAGTACCTCATTGGACCATCATATTAATGTACCGAGTGAGATTTGATGATTGATTACCGGGCTTGACCCGCTATTAGTTAGGTCTGGACCTGGATACATCTAACGAAGATACATGCATTTACTCGGCAGGATTGCAAAAGGGCCGTGGCTAGGAATGAAGCGGGGAGAGGGAATAAAACGAATGTTTGTGTATCTCTCCGGACCTCGTGGCAGTTACGGGCCTACGCTGGCAGCCGATTTGACTGATGCCGGGGCACAGTAGTACATGTAGGTATCCCTGCACCTACACCATGTTCTGCGGAAAGCTACAGTGCAGTTAACTAACTCCCTCCGAAGCGAGGTGAGACTATTTCTCAACAACAAAAGCGATTGGAATTCTTTGGCTCACTTCAAATTGCAACGTGTATCTACTTGGTATAATCGATATAAATTTCACGAAATCAGCACCGAACACTTTGCACCTTTGACAACCCACTCTCCCAGAATAACAGCATAAAGAAATCCAGCACCAACAGCCCTTGCTGCTTCATCTTTCAACACCTTGATCTCTTTACGAGACCAAAATCTGCCGCCAGATGCAAGGAGGGCTCCGGTGATTTACATCTTTGACTAAATCCTTCGGTCACCACGAGCTAGGGGGTTTGTCGGCCGATGGAGGCTCTTCATTACTTGTTACACTATATAGCAGCTCGCCAGAGGTAAGGTTAGTTATCTCCGATGGCGAAGTCCTCCATCCTGGCTTCAAAAAGATGTTGTTTAAACACATCATGCCCCCGACTGTTAACCAGTTGACGATCTGAGGCGGATCCCCTGCGTTGTCTGGCCTCATCAAGAATATAAATCTTCGCTGGTGGAGGTATCTTTGGATGACAAAGTGTGATTGGGAGGAGGCTTTAGACTGGTATGCGGAGAGGCGGTGGTGACCTTCGAGTTTCGAGTTGACCAATGCCTTCCATGTCTCTTGGTCGACATCTTTACCAAAAGTAATTCCGTCACCTTTTGCCGATAGACACGGCTTTATCAACCACATATCCTTATTATGTGGCTCGTTAACGATTTTTTGAAACGATTCTGTACCCGGAAAATGCGTTTCTGCGATTCCACGACGGAGTATGGCTGCTTGCTCTCCTGACAAAGCCCCCGATGCAACTAGATTATCGAGTTCCTGGCATATCAGGCCCAATATACGTTTGTCGTGGACGAAGAACACAGTACGGAGGTCGTTATGGCATCGGGCCCCGATCTCAAGAAGAATCTGTTCATCTATAGCATCGAGCTCATCTTGATGCAACTCCAGGGCTACCTGCTCAATTATGCCGATATCATCCGCTAAGGTGTAGCCTGATGGTGAACTACTACATGGAACAAGTCTCAAGCTTTTGGGATCAACCATGCGAGATGTATTGCATATATACGGCAAGAAATGGACATCCCATCCGGGTTCTCGCGCTTTTAGCAGAGTTACCGGCTTGGTCGCATCGAACAGGTGAGAAAATGCTGATTTGATCTAATAGTTGATTCTCAGCACTTGGTCCCGACTGAAATCCGATCGTGTTTATATCTGGATCCAGGATGACTTACATCTTGTACTGTACTCTGCTTCTGGAAGCGCCTTAGGTCCTCCTCGCTGGCGTTGTTATCAAAATATTCGCCAGTAAACAATAAGATTAGATAACTGTTAAACATAAATCTGCTATTGATTTCGCAAATCTGCAGCGGCCCATCATGTTTCTGAGGAACGAGGAAATCAGGACGATAGCATCCAACATCGGTGTATGGCCGACGGATATCTAGAGCTCTGAGGACACGTTCTACTTTTGGCGTTACAGGAATTGCTTCTTGATATCTGGGGGTAGTCCACCAATTATTGACGATGGCTAAGAGTGCAGCATGGAGGGCCGACTAGAGCCGTTTCAACTCAGTGATACGAGCTGGAGGTGTGTGAAAGGTGTAAGGATTGATAAGCGTGATGTATTTTTCATCGAGCTGAGGATTGGAGGTGAGTAATGAATTCCGTAGGCGACGAATGTGAGCGTTGTACTCGGATGCCGTGGGTGGTGGGTTTGGCACAACATGGAAAAAGTCGTTGAGTGTTCCATCAATATTCGAATTCATTTTGGACGTGATATACTGTCTTTTCTGGGATAATGGCGAGCCTTGTCTAATGGCGAATTGACCGTAAAAAACCAACAAAAGTCAACTACCGCGTTGCCTTGGCTAGATATCAACTCTATGGTTAGCTAAAAACTCGCCATTCGCCATCGTCCCAGTACAGTATACCCGATTGGTTCCAAAGTACACCGGCAGATGATTTTCTTCGCACGGGCAAGCCAGCCAGCTTCTTGTCTGTTCTGTTGTCCTGCAGGGTTCGCATCTAGAGTTTTGCGCAGCTGAACACTTTTTTTTTTTTTCCGTCGTAGTGAGCGAAGTGACGTATGTACCGACCCGGGATTGCTAGAGGGAAAAAAGTGATCATCTGGACCTTTTGTTTCTCATCGATGTTCCGTCACATGCAACGCACTGGCACGTTCTGCAGTGGTTCGGCACAGATGGAGGGATGCAAGGAGAGGAAGAGTTTTTCTTTTTAAACGGGAGGGTATCCAGCAAGGCATATCAAATGTTTGCAATTGATAAAGACAGGATTGGCCAAGACTCAAAAGCATCATGAGAAGTAAAGTAAACCCTGAGCCCGGCCTTCTCACCTACTCCTACCTACCTAGATATTTTCCCGCCCCCACATCCCGGCCCGCATGATCTCGGAAAAACCATGAGAGAAAACGTGCAGCAGTCTGGAGTATCTAGGCTCTAAAGCTCCAAAGCGCGAATTTCTCGGGGCCATGAGTCGACCCTGCGGAGGAACTTTCTACATAAAAGACCGAGAGCTCGGGTTTTCTCCGGGCAAAAGCCCGAACGTGGGGGAGGGGGGCGGGTGGGCTGAATTGAGTGCAGGAGGACCGGGTGTTGGGGTTTATTAGCCGCTTTTTTTTAGTTCTGGAGAATTGTTTGCCGGGCGTCAATTGCGGGGTGTTACCTGGTGGGGGGGGGAGGAAGATCCTTACTACCTATGCTCATAAATACAGACCCACGGGTCTGAGAGAAACAACTTTTATACCCCCCCTCTTCTGAGGCCTCTCGTCTTTCTCCCCTTCACTGTGCAGCTCTGTCAATTAAATTAAAGCGCCTTCATCCTCTGCTTCTTCTCGTCGCTTGTTTGCGGTTCGAGGGAAACATATCGCGAAACGATTTGCAGCACAAGCTACGGGGTGTGGTTAGTCAGTTAGTTGCGGTGGAACTTACCGGAGAAGCTTCAGAGTCAAACTGGGAATTCTAGCAACTCCGCTAGCGTCATAGAGCTTGTCATCCTCGGGGGGCCCAAGAAACAGCTACATAATCCGCCAGCTCCTCCTTCTCCTCGATCAATCACCACCTCATTCACTCACTACCAAACACCCAACATGGCTGCCGCTCGCTGTCAAGCACGCTCACTCCTCAAGCCTTTTGCAATTGCCTCCGCCGTTGGAGTCGGAGGCACCCTTCTCTACAAATCCCTCAACTCGCGCCCGGCGGCGCACACCTACTCAATTAACAACGCCGCCGGCGTCGAGGGCAGCTTTGGCCGCGCCAACCCCGCCGGCACACCCCCGAAATTCCCACCGCTCCCCACCAGAGCCGAGCAGATTGAAAAGCTGCGCGCCGGTCGGGGCGAAGGTGCTTATGATCTCATTGTTATTGGCGGAGGTGCCACCGGTAGTGGTATCGCTCTGGATGCCGCCAGTCGTGGCCTCAAGGTGGCGGTCATTGAGAGGGATGACTTTTCGTCCGGGACCAGCAGTAAGAGCACGAAGCTAGTACATGGTGGTGTAAGGTACCTGGAGAAAGCGTTCAAGGAGCTCGATTACAGTCAGTATCAGCTTGTGAGGGAGGCACTGAAGGAGCGTGCGGTGTTTCTCACAACGGCTCCCCATCTAAGTATGAGTCTGCCGATTATGCTACCAGTATATGAATGGTGGAAGGCGCCGTACTTCTGGGTTGGGACAAAAGTATATGATTTTTTGGCGGGGAAAGAGAACCTGGAGAGCTCCTACTTCTTGACGAGAGGGAAGGCGCTGGAGGCGTTTCCTATGTTGAAAGGGGATGGGCTTGCGGGGGCATTGGTTTACTATGGTAGGTGTCTACCCCGTGCTTTTGAGAAGATTGGATGATTGACTAGCATTAGATGGATCGCACAATGACTCGAGAATGAACGTGGGATTGGCACTTACCGCGGCGCTCTACGGGGCGACGGTCATCAACCACATGGAGGTCCAGGACCTGGTCAAAGACCCCGTAACTGGTAAGATAACGGGTGTCAAGGTCAAAGATCTTCTGCACGAGAAACGTGGCGGTAGACTCGGCTTTGGCGAAGGCATCGGTCACGACGAGGTTCTCGTGGAAGCAAAGGTTAACCCCGAGTGATACTCCATGTTTGGCCGAAAGATCTAACCATAGCTGCACAGGGTGTTATCAACGCCACAGGCCCCTTCACAGACAGCATCCGCAAGCTCGACACTGGCGAGCAAACTCCGGAGATCGTCGCGCCTAGCAGCGGTGTCCACATTGTTCTCCCAGGCTACTACTCCCCCGCCCGCATGGGTCTAATTGACCCGAACACCTCTGACGGCCGTGTGATCTTCTTCCTCCCCTGGCAAGGCAACACCATTGCGGGTACCACTGATGCCCCAACCACAATCACTCCACACCCGATTCCACGAGAGGAAGAGATCAATTGGATCCTCAACGAGGTCCGCCGCTACCTCGCACCCGACATCAACGTGCGCCGTGGCGACGTCCTCGCCGCCTGGTCTGGTATCCGCCCCCTCGTGAAAGACCCCGACGCCAAAAACACAGAATCTCTCGTCCGCAATCACTTGATCAACGTTTCTCAGAGCGGCCTCATTACCATTGCCGGTGGCAAATGGACCACATACCGACAGATGGCTGAGGAAGCCGTCGACGAGGCGATCAAACAGTTCGATCTCAAGCCAGGGACTTCAGATCTGTCTGCACGTTCTGAGGGCATGGTGGCCATTGATGGCACCTGCAAGACCGAGTGGGTGAAGCTTATTGGTGCCCACGGGTTCAGCAAGACCCTTTTCATCAACCTAATCCAGCACTTTGGCGTTGAGAGTGAGGTCGCGCAGCACCTTGCAGGTGCTTATGGCGACCGTGCGTGGTCTGTTGCGGCGCTATCGGCACCCACGGAGAAACGCTTCCCAGTGCGTGGGAAACGGCTCTCAGAGCTGTATCCGTTCATTGACGGAGAGGTGCGATATGCAGTAAAGCATGAGTATGCGCAGACGGCGGTTGACGTACTAGCACGCAGAACGAGATTGGCGTTCCTGAATGTGCAGGCGGCACTGGAGGCGTTGCCGAAGGTGATTGATATTATGGGCGAGGAGTTGAAGTGGGACAAGGTTCGACGGGAGAAGGAGTGGAATGAGACGGTGGCGTTTTTGGTCAGCATGGGGCTGCCGGAGAAGAGGGTTGGCGTCACGAGGAAGGAGGTAGAGAACGGAGCAGTAGGGAAATGGGGTGAGGAGGAGAAGGCATTTTCGAGACATGGTTAGTTTGAGTTCCTTTCTGATATCTGGGGTTTCGGGATATACTGACTGTGTTTGTGTTGTAGCGGGACCGGTAGATGCTATGAGCACCATCGCGCCTAATGCGAAGCCGCTTGACTCGAGTACGGTGCGGAATGGTGGTGTGTAGGTTTGGATTTAACCTGCATATCAATCAGCCTGTTTTGTAATATACCGTACTAGTTTGTCTTTCTTATTTCCATCATCTTCTACTACTATTGCATTCTCTTTTAGTCAGTCCTCTTCTTCTCCTTTTAGTTTTGGGTTATCATGGGTGTCTTTTTTCTTCTTTTTATAGCGTCCTAGAGGTGGTTATTATTATTATGAACATTAGGATATTATAAAAGTTGATATTTTTTTGCTTCCTACCGCTGGTATCATGGCTTTGTTGTGTTGAGTATGCCACCTGGTCCTACCCAGGCCTAGCAACGGGCAGCGGTGCTTAGACTGGGCTATACCAAATAAAAATTCTTTTGTTGAGCGAAAAGACTGAGAAATTAAGACCCCATGCCAGCAGTTTGAGCCTAAACATTGCCGGTTTGAGTGATTGATGATGGTATATCCGACAGTTTGACTAGTTATTTAAACCCCACGGGATAGATAACTTTTTTTGTTCGGGTTCGAAAGCATTATTAATCCTATCCGGCAATCCAGGCTAAGTTGGTCCTGATTGGGCCGGGTTTGCTGGAGCAGATTTATCCCGAGTCGGCCTATGGCTAGACTTGTTCCTTCCACCCAATAACTGGTCTGGGTTCTCACATTACGTCTAGGGCCCCCCTGCGAGACAGACTCTGTCCGCCCCCTCTAGATCCATAATTGCAAATACTGCTTTCTTCATGGATTATCACTCGATGAGAGAGAGGTTTACCCTTCTTGGGCGCGAGCAAGATATTATTGTTAGGTCTGCCAATGTACTGTACTGGCGGTAGCCCCTTCCAGTGGTGATCTGGCAAGATGCCAGTTCCTGGAGGATTGCCAGTACGTACTACCAGTATTCGTCTCTGTGCATGGGTTTGGAGATATCCTGTCATTGAACATGATGTGTTGGAGGAACCTCTCTCCGATTTGAAAAAAGAGAAGGGGTTGTTGGTAATAGCAGTGAGTTGTAACATCAAGGGTGATAATGATGGATAAGAAGAAAAAAAGGAGAATGAAGAAGGAGAATGAAGAAGGAGAATGGTGAGTAGGAAAAAAGTCACGAGAAGAGTGAAGTTAAAACGGATGAGATTCGAGGGACAGGGGGTTAGGGTTAGATGATGACCACGAGTGATAATTTATGAACATTCACAGTGTGTGGGTTAGGGTTGTGGATCAGTATTCGAGAATGAAATGCATCTCACCACACCTGGTTTAGGTTTCAGATGGCTTCGCTCTCATGATTAGAATTATGTATGTTACACCATAGACCGTTTGGGGCCCTAAGCTCTCCGACTCCTCAACCAACGGTATAATGTGATGCACCCTCACTAGCTAGCCATGTGTCTTATTACTGTTCAT